TTTTCTGAGAAAGTATAGGTATTTTTAAAAAGTTATATAAGGCTTAGAGGAGGATCGAAGAAGGGATAGGATTGGGGTTTAAGAAAAATAGAACAATACCAAGTTGGCTCAGCTCTTTTCTGTTGCTGTTTTCTTTGCGGGCGAGGGGGCAGAAGATTGATCTGGGGCTTGAAAGGACCTGACAAAAATGGTTAGTTTTTGTGGGAACTTGGGGATAGAAAACTGTGGGAGTGGATTTCGAAGATTAGTAGGAAGATAGTGAGTACCTACCTACCCTTGATGAAGCTACTGTGACAGACCAACTGTATCTTTGATTGTGAGAGAAGGACCACAGGACCAGGGAATGACAGTGCCCTAAAATGAAGGAATGGAGATTGTCCATTATAGGTCAAGTTCCCTGGGTGTGACTTTGATTCCTGGCAAAATTTAAGAACATATTTATTAAAGGGGTAGTTAGTGAAGATCAAGAAGCAGTAGTAGATTATGAAGATGACAAAATATCTAGAGGAAAAGTCTTTTGACACATATGGCAGATCTCTTGTCTAGAGCTTATTGACACATGGTGACATGATAAGTATGCTTAAAAAAAATGCTTGGATATCTATTTGTCTCTTCTAGGATAAATTTGTATCTGACATGCTTACTACTTTTAAAAAGTCCTTTAGCACACTTCCCCTTTCCTTGACTTCCCCCACCCTTTTACCACACCCATCCCCCCCTTTAAAAAATTACTTCCTGCCCAACCTTAAGTTTTCATTAAATCTCTTTGGCTAGGAGTGAACTACTGTTTCCTGTTTTGGCTCTTTTAATCTTGGCTTTTCCAGATCAGAAGTAATAAAGCAGAACGTTATATAAAAGTTAATTACTTAATTGATCTTTTTCTAAAAGGTTTTCATCTTATAGTGGCCTTGATTCTTATAGCACATGATTGTAGAACCGGGGAAAATAGAAAGGGCATTGTGATCTGGTGGTGGAAATAGCTCTGGATCGATAATCACAGCACCTGGGTTCAAATCCTATTTCTACTACTTACTCCCTTATGTGACCTTAATCAAGGTACTTAACCTCTCTCTTGACCTTAGTTTCTTAAGCAGGGGAAAAAAAAAATGATTGAACTAGATAAAGTTCCCTTACAACTCTACAAATCCTTCGATCTTATACTACCTCACAAATAGGGAAACTTTAAAAAAATCTGTAAAAAGACAGGCCACTAATTATATGATAAACTTAATAATTCTTTTATCACTGTTTTTGGCATTTAATTTTGACCTCAAAAGCACAGGTTTTAATTTAGGGGAGTTCAACAGTTGTCAACATTATAGCTATTAGCACCTAGGAGGCTTAATTACAAATTTTTTGCTTTATTTTTAATGATACCATTTCTTAGAGATTAGAATTGTTGCTATCAGAGTTTACTTCAATTGTATTCTAATTTTATGGATTTCCAGGTCATGTTATAAATATATGCTAAACTTTGTGACTAAAATTGTGACACCCTTCCTCTGTCCTTGTCTCCCTGGCTCTCTCTTTCTTCCTCCTTCTCTCTTCTTTCTGTCTTTTTGTCTCTGTTGTTCTCATGCATATATGTAAACCCCTCCCCCTCAGACTAATGAATAGTGTTGATAATAAATCACTTTATTTAATTAAACTTACTTTTCCCTTTATATGTATCTTAACTATTATCTGTTTGTTCTTGAGTTTCAAAGCCATAATAGAAGCCACATGCAATCCACCTTCTATAGTCTAGGGAAGCCTGTATTTGCAGATTCCTTGAGCCAGATAATCTTCCTTATCATCTTTTATTTTTTTAAATCACAGTTTACATATATTCTTTTTTCATTGACTCTTTCAAAACAGAACAGAATTCTTTTACATCAAGCAGTTAATTTACATGTTATTGCTTTGGTTTGTTGATTCCATATACAAAGAGTTTTGGAATGTTATATGCTTTCATGCTTAGAAACTAATTGTCCTGTTTTGAAGTTGATAATTTATTTTGAAAGTAGTATTCACTAGATTGCAAGCTTTTTAAGAGCAGGAACTATTTTTTGTCTCTTTCTTTGTATTCCCAGTATTAAGCACAGTCCCTGGCACATAGTAGATGCTTAATAAATGCTTTTTGACTTACTGTTTTTTAATATTCATGCTGGGTGAATTATAGCAATATTTGGTCAACAGAATTACAGTTCTAATAGAAAATAAATAAAACCATCGTGTGTGTACATAATGGCATTGTAAAAATTAATAATGATAAACTGTTAGTTATATGAAAAGGTTCTTAATTAACTCCTTCCTCTGTCTTCTTTATAAATAGCTGATTTGTATTGGATCTCTTTTAATTATGTCCCTACAACCTGCTTAGGTCACTTATTTAATAAAATGAACCAAACTTTTCTCTCTGTTTTAAAACGGTTGGTCTCCTCAAAATTACACCTTAGTTTTTCTTTTTTCACAATGGCTTAATTATTCAACAGTTTTATCATTTAAATTCCGTATTATGTTATCAGATGGAATGCCTCTGGAAAATGTTCTTTTAGACATGTGTTCCATAACTGGCCTTTAGATTTTTTTAAAAAAGCATCTAACAAGTACTTGCTGTCTTGCTTCTAGGTGTTGTGATATATCTTACTTTTTGGGTCTCTAGCCCTCTGTCCTGAAATTCTGTGATTCTACTCTATTGACTGTGCTGGGAATGAGAGGATAAAATAAGTAATAAGAGTTTTCATAAAAATTTTTGAAGGAGAGTTGTGAGATTATTTCCATCTGTGTCCATAGCTCCTCTGATTGGAGGATAGAGCCATGAATTCCAAAATCTCCATTGATGGAGGGGCCCCAGGCCAGTCATCTTTTCATTTTCCACTGGCTGCTTTCTTTTGGACTTCTCATGACTTCTTCATCATGCCCCTTGAACCTCATCATTGAGAAATTTCATCATACTGTGAGGTCCAGTCAGCTTTGGTACTCATACCTCATCAGTACCCTTTGCCCCCTGATTGGAGGGAAGAACCATGAGCTCCAAAACCTCCATTTAAGCAGAAGGCCCAGGGCAGCTATCTCTTCATTTCCCACTGGCCACACTCTTTTGGACTTCTTTGGACTCCTCTATCATGCCCACTGGACTTCTCCTCCCTCTTACTCTCTCTACACTTTGAGCTTCCTTTTGTGTAGTGTCTTCCCTTATTAGATTGTAAGCTCCTTGAGGGCAGGAGCTATCTTTTTTATTTTTGTATCCCTAGCACTTAGCACAGTGGCTGGCACATAGTAGGTACTTAATAAATGTTTATTGACTGACTGTCAATTCATTAAGCAGCAAACTTCAATGTTTTCAGTCTTAAAACTTTACACTGCAAAAGTAACTCTTCAACTCCTAATCTTATTTATGAAATGGTGATGTAGAAGGATATTTTCATTCCTCAGTAGTGCTGAAAACATTCTGAAGCAAAGTGAGTCATAGTTAGCCCTCATTATCTATACAAATGGAGGTAATTGGTAGTATGTATGACCTTGATGTCAAATACATTTTTGCTCTAGAAATCATGTTATTCATATTATTCTTTGGGGGTGGGCAATATTTACTTTTTTAAATTTTACTTTGGCCATTAGATTGAATTGCCATTCATTGGACAAAAATCAGCTAATACAAAAGAACATATCCCAAAAAGATCATGGACAGCGATATGAAATTAGATTTGGCAACAAAGAAAATTGCTTTGGGTAATCTGTGTACATGTATAATTCATAGTTGGCTGTCCCTTAATTTTACTAGTTGTTTTCTTGATTTAATTCTAACAGGAGATATTACTGACACAACTCAACTTGTCATTTTACCATACATTTAGATAGGCAGCTGCGTGGGTTGTGAATTTTTATCTTCTGAGTGGGCACCTGCCCTTATTTCACTCACCTAAAGCACTTGGGAAATGAACTAACCTATACAGGTGCATTCTCTTATATAAATAGAGAGGTACCTCATCTTATGCAAAGGTAGAGAGATGCTTCTCTTCTCTTGAAATTATTATTATTATTATAAATTATTGTTATTTTGTACTATGTGGTTAAAGTCTAGTGTGGTAGGAGTAATATCCTAACCCCTCTCCCCATGCAAATAAGGCTGGTTTTTCTTTTTTTTTGCTTTTTTCTTTTTGCCTTTTTTTTTTTGGTGAGGCAGTTAAGGTTAAGTGACTTGCCCAGGGTCACACAGCTAGTACGTCTGAGGCTGGATTTGAGCTCAGGTCCTCCTGACTCCAAGGCCAGAGTTCTAGTCACTGCGCCACCTAGCTGCCCCTAAGGCTAGTTTTTCCTTAAAATATATTTAGACATTCCTAGAGACTTGGTTGGCTCAGGGAACTATTTCCTCATCTCCTGAGCACAAAGTAGCCATGAGGAGCCAGAGGGGCTCTCAGATGCTTGGCTGGTGGATCTTGATGGGAGCTTTACTCAGCTGAATTAGCTCAAGGGGTTCTCAGTGCCTATCCTTGTTAAATATCCTAATGCTATGGTTAAGTAAATTTCTGTTTGTTAATTGTCACATTTTGTTCCATTATTGAACCTAGCCTACCAGAGGACTGGCCTGAGTCAGACCCACCCTGGAACACACATTATAGATTAAATAGTCTTTTGTAATATTACTTGAAAATCTAATTACTATTTATGGGGGGGCGGAAGAGGTAGGGAATGGAACACACATATATTAAGTGCTCACTTATGTGCCAAGCACTGTGCTAATAAGTGCTTTACAATTTACATTTACACATTGTTTTGATGGGCAAGCATGCTCTGAGTTCTGAATAATGGATTTACAAATGTACTTTTAGAGTATAACGTTGTGAATGCACGTGTTATAAATCAATTTTCCATTTCATAGTAAAACTGTGGTTTTCCCTTTCAGCTTAGGTTATTTTTTCTTCTCTCATGGATCATATTTACATTTTAGTAAGAGGATTTTATGGATGTGTCAGAAAAACAATTTGTTTTAAAGTATGTTTTAATTCTGTTCCTAGGAAATCTACATTCTTCAACGTTCTAACAAAGAGCCAGGCAGCAGCAGAAAACTTCCCATTCTGCACTATTGATCCTAATGAGAGTCGAGTACCTGTACCAGATGATAGATTTGATTTTTTGTGCCAATATCACAAACCTCCAAGGTAAATGTTTTTGTTTTTTCAAAAATCTTCATTCTCTTCCTTATATTGGTGGTTAAATTTAGGCATTGAGTCATTTATCTCCTATGGCAGAAATTCATTAAAAATGTTTAAGTTTGAAAGAGTGATTTGAAATTTACATTTCTTTCTTTTAGTTGGAACAGTACTTTTGATTCTTTAACATCTTGAGCTTTTTCTTAACCCTTTATATCAAGTCAGTTTTTTCTTCTTTCTTTGTTTCTGTGCTCCCTAGTTTTTTTTCCCATTTTTCCATTTTTCTTTTCTTCTCCTTCCTCTTTACCTTACCAAATTTGTTATACCCTTGAAGGCTTATTTAGTGAACCTCAGTGAAGAGTTCCTTGACTGTCATTACCCAAAGTGATTTTACCAGTCTCTAAATTCCTGTGTCTCTATAGGAAAATAACAGTTCATATATATTACTGAAATAGTTTTTTTTAAAAACGCCAGCAAAGTACATGTGTTTGGGCATGAAAGAAAAAAAATTCTTTGATCCAGAGTAAAATATTATGGTTATTCCAATACAGTTTGTTAGAGAGTTTAAGGACCTGACTCTGCAACTTCAAGTATGTGTTGTTTCAAGAAATACAATATTTTTTCAATTCTAATGCTCTGGTCTGAAAAATCAAACCTGCTAGCTGCAGTTAAAGACTTTGAAAATGTCTTTACAAAAGCACAAAGTAAAAGTCTCTGACTTTAGCATGAAGCTGCTTGATGCATTACTTCCTTAAAAATCTCTTACTGAAAGATGGAAGCTTCAGAAGTTCTTAATGTGGCAAGCATTTAAAAACAGTTTAATTAGAAACTAAAGAGTTCACTAACTCCTTTTTTCAGAAAAAAAAGTAACAATTGGAAAATAATTATTCGAATGCTGAGTTAAGTAATTAATGATAAATGTAAACCTCACATTACTGTGGTTCTTTTAACTAGCAGAATAAATTAATACCTGAATCTGTGGTTAAGGCGAAGAGCTTCAGAACTTGCTAGAAAATGATCATCTGAGGTGGTGATTCCTTCGCATAATGATTATACTCATGTGTCTTGTCTTACTTCTGCTATGTTCATTTGCTTGAAAATTTTAGATGGCAAATTTTGAGCACAGAATTTTAGCTTCACTGGTCTGGGTTTCTTGGAGCCTTATGTTGATTCTCCCTGTTTCTAAAGGGTTCTTATTAATTAGGTATATTTAAGTTACCTAGTAGTAATTCACTAGAGGTCTCTCACCTTCTGGCAATCTCTTTTTTCTTTACTAGAAGCCTTACTATGGGGATGAAGGGAGAAGGGAATAAAAATGATGCTGATAAGGATAACTACTCAGATTTCTAAAGAACTTTAAGGTTTGCAAAGCACTTTTCCTTATAACCATTCTTCACCCTGTGAAGTAGGTAAATTAAAGTGTTGTTACCCGTTGTGGTGTAATAGAAAGAACTCCAGATTAGTCTTTGCTTCTGCTGAGAATCCTTTTATAATTCCCCATATCAGCTATCTGGACCTTTTTCCTCTTTCTTCCCATATGTATTCCCCAATTCCACATTTGTAACATTTGATGTTCTCCTGTTTCTCCTGGAACTCCCTTGACTCACAGTATCTACTTGCAAAACTGCTTACTGATATTATCAACATGGCACAATGGAAAGAGCTCTGGAGTTGGAGTTGGATAACCCAAGTTCAGATTCCAGTTTGTTACCTATGTGACCTTGAGCAAGTTGTTTTACTTTTGTGAACCTCAGTTTTCTGATATGTAAAATAGACCGAATATTTTCAAAGATTCTTCCTTCCTTTTCTAAAATCTTATTTTCCTATGATCCTGTGATCATCTATTCTTCTCTCTTTCTACCTATCTCTGAGGAAGTAGTCCTTCTCCTTTGTAATCTGTGCTCTTAATCCCTTTTCCACCCTTTTAGCAATCCCCATTCTGTCATTGATTTTCAATCTCTTTCTTCTCCCATTGGCTTCTTCCTATTTGCTGATAAATATGCTCAGGTTTTCCCAGACTTAAAAAAAATGTTTTCTTTCACTTAAGCAGCTACATTTTAATCTCTCTCTGTTTAATAACAGTTAATAATAGTATTTAATATTTATTTATTGCTTACCGTATGCCAGGAACTGTGTTAAGCACTTTACAAATATTAACTCATTTGATTTTTACAACAACCTTGGGAGATAGATGCTATTGTTATCCCCATTTTACATATGAGGAAACTGAGGCAAATAGCAATTAAGTTACTTGGCCAGGGTCACACAGCTAGTAAATGTCTGAGTCTGGATTTGACCTCAGATTTTCCTGACTCCACTGCCCTGCTAGCTGTTTGCATTTCATACTTCTATTTCCTCACCACCCACTTGCTCCTTAATCCCTTATCATCCCCCTGACTTAGTACAATAAAACTCTGCTAAAGTTTGCCAGTAACCTTATTATCAAGCCTAATGATGGAGAACATTTCTACCATACCTCAAAATCATTATGTCCAAGAGTAGCTTATTTTTTTCTCCAAACCTGTTGCTTCTTCTGACTTGCCTATTTTTAAACTGTCTTACTTTCTATACTAGAGGCACAGTGGTGCCTACAGAGGTGGCACAGTGGAGCCTACAGAGGTGGCACAATGGATAGAATATTAGACCTGGAGTGAAGAAGAAATCTGAGTTCAAATCCAGCTTGAAACACTTACTAGCTGTGTGACCCTGGGCAAGTCATGTAACCCTGTTTGCTTCAGTTTCCATATCTGTAAAATGAACTGGAGAAGAAAATAGCAAACCACTCCAGTATCTCTGCCAAGAAAATCCCAAAAGGGGTCACGAAGAGTTGGACACAACTGAAAAATGACTAAAGAAACTCTCTACAGGATCTTATGTGTGACTTAGTGTTTTGTTTGTGGATGATTGTGTACTCAGTACAGCCTCTGAGGCTGAAATGCAAACAAAATATTCATCCATTCTCTGTTGCTTTTGCTAATTTTGGCCTGACAAGTAACACCAAGAAAACACAGGTTCTTCGCAGCCAGCACCACACTGTCCATACATGGAACCATGGGTTACAGCAAATGGAGACATTTTGAATACTGTGGATATGTCCACTTACCTTGGCAATATACTTTCCAGGGACATACATATAGATGATGACATTGATGCACACATTGCCAGAGCTAGCTCAGTGTTTGGGAGGTTCTGAAAGAAAGGGTGGGAGAGAAGAGATATTAGTCTACCAAACTGAAGGTCTACAGAGCTGTTGTGCTGATCTCATTGTTGAATGCCTGTGGAACCTGAACAGTGTACAGCCAAGAAACTGAATGACTGCCATTTGAATTGTCTCAGGAAGATTCTGAACATCGCCTGGCAAGATAAGTTATCAGAAATGAAGCACTCGCGGCAGCTAGGTGGCACAGTGGATAGAGCACTGGCCCTGGATTCAGGAGGACCTGAGTTCAAATGCGGCATCGGACATATAACACCCACTAGCTGTGTGACCCTGGGCAAGTCACTTAACTCCATTGCCTAGCCAAAAAGAAAAAAAAAGAAAAAAAGAAATGAAGCACTCTGCTGCAGAGAGTACAATTCTGATGGATTGGCCACTGAATGCCAAAAGAACATTTGCTTAAATTTTATGGAGAACTAACACAAGGCAAGCACTCACGTGGAGGTCAGAAGAGGCAATACAAGGACTTTCAAGTTCTTTGAAGAACTTTGGAATCAATTGTGAGACGTGGGAGACACTGGCAGGACCGTTCAGACAAGACTGGCTTGTCTTCATCAAAGGTGGTGCTGTGCTCTGTGAGCAAAGCAGAATGACGAGATTCAAAAGAAATGTGAGATGAGCAAATTTAGAACCATCTCTACTCCAGATGTTCATACTATTTGGGTCTGGCCTGTTGTAGAACCTTCCAAGCTCATGTTGGTCCGAACAACCACAATTGGACACACTACACCTTGATCCCAACATAGTGATGTCATTTCGGTCCTCTTTGAGAACTAAGGACAACAACCAACAGGGTATTACATGTGACTTAGTGTTATCTTTGACACTTGTCATTTGTTAAGTCAATCAGTCTCAAAACCACATCATTCAGATTTTTTAACTTGAATTATCTTTGTTTTTCTTTCTGTCTTTTCCTTCTGCTATAACCTTTTGTATTGGTTCATTCCCATCCCTTTGGAATGTTGCCATAGCTTTCTAACACATCTTTCTACTCTTTCTTTCCAAACCATTCTCGCTATTGCCAAACGTATTTTTCTGCTTCATGGAGCTGGTCATCCCATTGCTCTGGAGAAAACCATTCAGGGGTTCTCCATTGCCTGCAGAGTCAAGATAATAGTCTTTTGCCTGAGTACTTACAATTGGGTGCTACCTCACCTTTTTGCCTTTCTAACACTTTCTATGCACTCTGTGCTCAAATGATCAACAAGCATTTATTAAGTGCTAATTATGTACCAGGAATTGTACTAGGCACCAGGATTACCTATGCAAAAATGAAACCATTCTTGCTCTTATGTGGTTTCTGTTCTGATCATGTGTGTGTGTGTGTGTGTGTGTGTGTGTGTGTGTGTGTGTGTGTAAGTATATGAAGATCCACCACGAAGTAGTTGAATACTTATCCCTTCTATGCTTCCTACATTCTCACTTTTGTGCACACACTATTCCCTATGCCTGGAATGTTCTCCCCCAATTATTTCAGTTGACTCATCTATTATAGCCCAAGTGAAATGCTGTCTCCTTCAGGATATCTTTTTTCCTTTGATCTTCCACTTGATGTTGATCATCTTCCTCTTCCGACTCCCAAATCACACAGGCATCTGTTTGCATTGCTCTCATATACTTACCTTGTATTATTTTGCATTACAGTTGTTTGCCAAGCCCCGTGTTATATTATAAGTTGGGACCATTCTTAGTTAAAATTGGTGACTCCCTGATTATCTTGCAGAATGCCTTGCCTGCAATATTTGGTACATGTCTGTTCAATGCCTTGCCAAATACTTGGATACTTTCCTGTGGTTTTCCTTAATTTATGAAATACTGACTCTTGCATGCCTTCAAGTAAATGTAATGAAAGAATGTGATCTGGTCTTTGTCTTTTCCATACTGTCATTTTATCCACAGTATAACTAAGTAACTGAAAAGCACAATAGTCAGTATTTAAATACTTAAGTGAACTTGTGATCTCATCACAAATGGGATACTTCTCCCAGGATACAGATCACAACCCCCTCTTATTTTTTCATTCTTTTTGTCTATATTCCCATAAGTCCTCCATGGAGGAACTGCCCATTATGCTAGAGGCATTCTGTTAATAGCCTTTTAACCTTCCATGGGTACCAGTGAAGTACTTGCAGTGTCCATCTATTAGTCTTTGAACTTAATTGTTGATTGATATTTATAAAAATATCCTTGATGATATTTTTGTGCTGCTTCTTCCATGTCATTATTTGTGATGTACTTTGATTACCCTATGCTAACTACGTGTCTTTAAAATTTTAAGTGATTCAGAAGGCACTAGTTCTTTAGAGATTGTGATGTTCTGTGATTAGCAGCCTTGAATATTGCAATGGAAGAGGATCATTTATGAGACAATATGGAACAGTGGAGTCAGAGAATTTAACTGAAAGTCTTGTTTGGATGCTTACTACCTGTGTGACCTGGGGCCAAACACTTACCTCACTAGACCTCAGTTTACTTCTCTGGAAAATGAGAGAGTTGGAATAGAAGACCTCTGGGATCTTTTCTAGCTCAAAAATTAGGATCTTTTGATGTTGTTGGTTGCTGGACAAATATATCATGTAGAGTAACAACAGTTCAATTAATAGTTATATCCGATTTACAAATTGTATGATTCTTAGCACCGTCTGTCCACTTTATAGCAGAAGTGGAAGGGGCCTGCACAGATTGAGCGCTATTTAAAAAACTGTTCAAAAAATCCATCATTCTAGCAAGGTAGTCCTTTCACACCTCTCTGATTTGATATCCCACTCACCGTAGTGGCTATTCCAAATCTTTTCATCCTTTCGTCTACCTTCTCAGCTAAGGACATATTTTACTGAAAAAATTGGGGCCATTCACTTTTCTCTTCTCATCTCATATCAGATCTCTTCACCTACTCTCTCCTCCCTGTCTCGCATGAAGAGGTAGCCCTTCCTGCCAAAGCAAATCCTCTACACGTACCCTTGATTCTATCCGATTCCGTCTTTTCCAGCAGATTACCCCCTCTATCATTCCCATTTTTTCACTAGTCATTAAACTCTTCCTATCTACTGGCTGCTTCCTCGCTGCCTGTAAACATGCCTTTGTCTTCCCTTATCCTTAAGAAACCCTCATTTGATCTATTTCCTCTAGCTCTCATTCTATATCTATATCTTTCTTTTCTTCACCTTCTTGGCTAAACTTGAATAAACCATCTATAAAATTCAGTGCTTCACTTACTCTCCCCTCGCTTGATTCTAAACCCTCTGCAGTTTGGCTTTTGATTTCATCATTTAATTTTAACTGCTCTTTCCAAAAGTCATCAAATGATTTATTAGTTGCCAAATCTAATAGCCTTTTCTTAATTCTCATCCTCTCAGCAGCCTCTGACACTGTCAGTCACCCTCTTCTTCTAGATACTCTTGTCTATCCTCTAGGTTTTCATGACATTGCTTTCTCTTTTTTTCTTTTTTCTCCTACCTTTCTGACTGATCCTTCTCAGTCTCCTTTGCTGAATCTTCATCTAAGTTATATCTACTGTTGGTGTACCCTAAGGTTCTGCCCTGTGCCTTTTCTTCTTCAACACTAACCAGTTTCCATAGTCTCAATTACTGTCTCCACAAAGATGATTTTCAGATCTATGTGTCACTTTTAATGTTTTTCCTGTTCTCCATTCTTACATCACAACTTCCTTTTGAACATCTTGAACTGGATGCCCCTGGACATCTCATATTCATCCCATCTAAAACAGAACTCAATTTTTTTTTCTCAGACTCTTACCTCTTCCTAACTTCCTTTTTTTTTTTTAAGTAAATTTTTATTGATATCTTGTTTTTATATGCCTAAATTTCTCCCAGTGTCCCTCTCCCTCCTTTAGAGCTGTCCCATATAACAAAGACTAAATTTTTTTTAAAGAAAAAAAGGAAAGAAGAGAGAGTGAGGTAAAAGAGGCTCATCACCAGGTTGGCATGTGGAATGATGATATTTTGGTCACAGTAACCCTTGAGGACCATCTACTAAGTTATAGAAGGGTCCTGATATATACCTTATTTAGGGAAGCAGCCCTCCTAACTGAATTACATGTCCCTGAAGTATGAATGTTTGGTACTTAAGTATATCAAGTATAGATCCGACTTGTCACTTTTTGGCTCAAGAAGCTTTAGTTACCCTCTGTTGCTGCTAGTATATGATACAAATTGATCTGTTGGGCATTTCAAGCTCTTTTCCCACCCTATCTTTCTGGCTTGATTTATGTTCTAGCCAAACTCTATTATGTCAGTGCCTTTACACAGTCTGTCCTGCATTCCTGAAATAGTTTCTCTTCATACCTCTGTCTCACGGAAACCCTAACTTCTTTCAAGGCTCAGCTTGAATGTGATTGCCTACATGAAGCCTGTCCTGATTCCCCCAATAGTTAGTGTTCTCCCTTGCCAAAATTAATCTGTTTACTTTGTTTATATTTGGTATTTACCTTTGTCCATGTTTTTTCCCCAGTGGAACAGAAACTTTTCTTTGTCAGGTTTTACTTTGTTTTTGATCTTTGCCTTTAGATGCCTGGTGTGTGACACAGTATTTGAAATCAAGAAAGGCACTTAATTAAATGCCTGTTGAATTCAGTGAATAAAAATATTCTTTTAGGATATATCTGACTTCATGTACCATGTATTTGACTAACATTTTTGTATATCTGTCGTGTTTACTGCAATGGTGATTGAGGAACTTGATCTCAGTACTTTTTAATCTTTAGAGTCACTGGAAACATATGGCTCTGAATGAATTAAAAGACTATATTATATTGAATTTTCTAGAAAAGGAAAATTGGTTTAAATTAAGCTATTTCGAATGTTGTTGGTGCATTGGGTAACAGACACCTTATTGTACTATTTTATAATGACTAATTTTTTTTTTAATCTTTCAGCAAAATTCCAGCCTTTTTGAATGTAGTTGATATTGCTGGCCTTGTGAAAGGAGCTCATGCTGGACAAGGGCTAGGAAATGCCTTTTTGTCCCACATAAGTGCCTGCGATGGAATCTTTCATCTAATGCGTATGTAAACTTGTTCAATTGAATAGTTTAAGGATAATTTTGCTTTTAACATAGAAAAAATAAGAAGTGATCCCTTAAGTTTTTTCTCTGCCTTTATATAATTTGCATTATTTTTTGATACTTGGAATTTTAAGTCATGGTGGGATCCTTGTCCTATGTAAAAGATTAATCCATTTAAATTTTGTGCTATAGTTATACTGTTCTAATATAATATATTATTGAAAGTGTCCGTTGCTTGGCTACATTAGAAATATATTCAGTTTGAGGAGTTCTAGGAAATCAACATGACAATATAAGCAGGTTAGACTCTTCTGGTTTTCCACAATTGTGGAATTTGTTTTTGTAATACTTCTTTGGTAATTTTTATGCAATAGAATTGAATTTTTGGTGTCTTTTAACACTTTCATTTAGTTTTCTGATATTAATTGTAAAAGGTGGGTTTTTCAGATCCTTAGGGCAGTTTTTAAATAATTATTTTTGTACGTGCACATGCTCCTACAGTAGTGGTTAAAAGAGCTGGCCTGGAAACTAGGAACACCTGGGTTCAAGCCCTGCCTCTTGTATGTACTTCCTATGAGTCCCAGAGCACGTAGCTTAACTTCTCAGTATTATAAGGCTGAAAAGTTGCAGAGGGGGTACCTATTCATATTGGTAAAAGTTTTCTCACCCAGGTGTTCCCCAGACTAGTTCCTCTCCCCTCTCTTCCCCTCCCTTCCTCTCAGGTTGTCGTAGCCTTCATAACATTAACACCATCCTGTTAGTCCTTTTAAACATTCCACTTTACTCATTTATTGAAACAATTCATGCCATACTTATGGAATATCAGTATTAGTGAAAAAATTTCAGTCCAGTGAACTACTACTGGTGATAGGTCCTAGACAATCATATGGAAGCAGGAAGGTAGAGGATGCCTGTCCAGGATTTCTCCAGTGAATATTTGAATATTACAGACACATCAACAGCAGAATATGTCTGCTAAGCAGTTAGTTAATACAAAACTTTTCTATTCACCTATCCACTACAGATGGGATCTGGAGGTAGTAGAACCAGCTCAAATGTATTTTCTATGTCTACTTTTCCTACAATTCATTGAAACTTTTTGGATTCCTTGATTTCTTTAAAATATTTAAAGTCAATATATTGGGGCTCTATTGATGAATTTTTTTCTTAAGATTAAAATTATATTCTTAAATTTTGATTAGATCATTAGATATCAAGGTTTTCTTGGTATCTAAACTCCCCCTACCCCCCAGCCACTATTTCTTTTTCTTTATCTCTTGTTGTTCAGTTGTTTCAGTCATGTCTGACCCTTTGTGACCCCATTTGGGGTTTTCTTGGCAAAGATAACTGGAGTGGTTTGCAGTTTCCTTCACCAGATCATTTTTACAGATGAGGAAACTGAGACAAACAGGGTTAAGAGACTTGCTCAGGATCATACAGTAAGTGTCTGAGGCCAGATTTGAACTCAGGAACAACTTCAGGACTTCAGGACAACTACTTTCTTCATTGTGACAACCCTGCTATCCTACGTTGAAGTTCCAGACTCTTTATGTTTGAAAGTGATTGTACGATACAGTATGTGCTAATTTTATGTATCAGCTAGTGAAGGCATTTTTTTTTTTAAAAGGCAGTTGGGGTTAAGTGACTTGCCTAGGATCACACAGCTGGTAAGTGTCAAGTGTTTGATCTGAGGTCGGATTTGAACTCAGGTCCTCCTGACCTCAGGGCTGGTGCTCTATCTGCTGCACCACCTAGCTGCCCCAAAGGCATTTTGAAAATACTTATTTTTCCACAAGAATTTCAATTGTAGTTAGGATTTACCTTGGTTATTTTAGTAGTTTAGACATTAGAAATGTTGTATTTAGACATGATAACCAGGTTGATAAAACTGTATTGATTGAAAAATACCCTGGAATTGTGAGTTGGATTTTGTATAGAAGAATATTAGATTTTGGTGGATTTAATAAAACCATACCAATATCTGCTCTCTTAGTATATAAATGTGATAAGTGCAAAATCTTTTTATCTAGACAGTTCCTTAGAATGGATTCCAAAGTGCTGCTCTTTGTCTTTGAGTGCATTGGTAGATGTGTTGGGCTGTGCATTACCTCTGTTTGCTGGCTTATTTTTTACTTTTGGTTAGGGAAACAAAAGTCTGGTACCAACAACTTTGAAAGATATAAGTAGCATGTTATCCCTCCTTTGGTTGTTTTCTTCTGAAAAACAAGTGAAAGACAGTTCTGTAGTAAAGAGGTGATTGTTATATGATGTCTAGGCTCTTTTTTTTGATCATGGCTTTCAGATAGTCCAATAATTTTTAAATTCTCTCTCCTGGATCTATTTTCCAGGTCAGTTGTTTTTCCAATGAGATATTTCACATTGTTCTCTTTTTTCATTCTTTTGGATTTGTTTTACAGTGTCTTGATTTCTCTCAATAGCTTCCAATTTCTCTATTCTAATTTTTAAGAAAGTATTTTGTTCAGTAAGCTTTTGGGCTTCCTTTTCCATTTGGTCAGTTTTCCTTTTCAGGGCATTCTTCTCCTCATCGGCTTTTTGGACCTCTTTTGCCATTTGGGTTAGGCTATTTTTTAAGATGTTATTTTCTTCAGTATTTTTTTGGGTCTCCTTTAGCAAGCTGTTGACTATTTTTTCATGATTTTCTTGCATCACTCTCATTTCTCTTCCCAGTTTTTCCTCTGCTTCTCTTACTTGTTTCTCAGAATCCTTTTTGAGCTCTTCCCATAGCCTGTGACCAATTCATATTTTTCTTGGAGGCTTTGGATGTAGGAGCTTTGACTTTGTTGCCTTCTTCTGGTTGTATATTTTGATCTTCTTTGTCACCAAAGTAAGATTCTATGGTCTGACTCTTTTTTGCACTGCTTACTCATGATTCTAGCCAATTACTTGAGTTATAAACTCTTTGTTAAGGTAGGGGTCTGTTTCCAGTGTGGAGAATGTACTGTCCCAAACTTTGGGGGTTGTGCAGCTGTTTTCAGAGCTACTTCTAGGGATCTGTAAATTTTCAATTCTTCCAAGATGGTATGATTGAGGGTGAGGTGTTTACTCCTTTCCTGGCCTGTGCTCTGATCTGTGAGTGACCACAAACACTCTTTTCTGCCTTGGAACTGTGAGGAGGATTTCCTCTCCACTACCACTACAAGCTCTACCACGCCAGTGCTCCTCCTCGCCCCAGGACTGACACCCAGAACTGTGACCCAGATCCAAGCACGGGCAACAAGAGAATCCTGCACCAGCAGAGAGATCCCTGCAATCCCCCTCTGATCAGCCACTCTATTCCCCTGTGGACCGGAAGCTCAGGAAGCAGCCGCCACCCCAGGGCCAAGCTGGGGGACTGGGGCTGGGGCAGCGACCTTGTTCTTGCTCTCACCCTCGAAGACACAGACTTTTCCTACTGACCTTCTATTTGTCTTTGGTGTTTGTGGGTTGAGAAGTCTGGAAACCCCCACAGCTTCCTGTGATTCAGTCCTCTGAGGCCTGCTCCAGGTTCGCTGAGCCCTGTGCGCCCACACTGAATTGCACTCCTCTCCCTGCTCGGCGTGATAATACCTTTCTGATCAACCATCCAGGTGGTCTTGGAGTGGAAATTTGTTTCACTCTGTCTTTCTGTGGGTTCTGTTGCTTTAGAATTTGTTTAGAGCCAATTTTTATAGGTATTTGGAGGAGTTTGGGGGAGAGCTCAAGCAAATTGCAGCTTTTACTCCGCCATCTTGGCTCTGTCTATAATTATCTTAAATGGAATTTCTCTTTCTATCTCTTGCTGTTGAACTTTGTTGGTAATGTATAGATATGGTGATGATTTAGGACTGTGATGTTTTCCCTGCTCTTAAAAAAAAAAAGAATTGCTTTTTGGCCTTCAGTTATTTCTTCCAAACTTAGACTTAGGGGTCACTGATTCAGAGCTATAATGGATCTCAGCAACTGACTAGTCCTACCCTCTCATTTAATAGATAAGTAAATTTGGGTTCAGAGAGACTTTTCCAAGGGTAACACAAGTAAATCTTTAAGTTCCAAGTCAATTGTGATCTTTACTGGTGGAAGTTCATGTACTAACAATTATAGATCTTTATTGATCTAATTAATTAATGATAATGATGATGATTATAATGCAACCACCAAAAAACTCCACTTGGATTGAAAATTGTGTCAGAAGGGAAAAGGAGCTATAATCTAAGCATGTGTGGTATAATGCTAAAGAAAATTATGAAACCATGTTGTGTAAGTCCACTACAAATTTTATGCTACATAATCTTAATTGAGCTCTCACTGTGGCAAGGCAGTCTTTTTACACGTAATTGATTTACTATTCCAATCACCACATCGGCTTTTACAAACTTTTTCATTCCTCCTCAGACTTCACAGACCTTCTCTTTTCCCCTTTTTCAGCTGAGAATCTTGCCTCGTATTTCGCCAAAAAAATTGATGCCATTCACAAGAGTTCTCTCTTTCCCTCCTGTTCATTATCTCTTATCATTCAGATGCCTTCTGCCATTGTGTCCTCCTTCCCCCATTTCATGTGAAGAGGTTACCTTTTTTCTTGCCAAAGCTATCCCTCTTCATGCACAAATGATCTTATTCCATCCTGTCTTCTCCAGTACATTGCCCCCTCTTTCATTTTTACTTCTGAACTCATCTTTAATCTCTTCTTTTACTTCCTCCCTTTTTTGACTAAACTCCTTGCGAAGTCCATTTACAATAATAGATGCTTTTACTTGCTTTCCTCTCACTCTTTTCTTAACTCTTTGTAGTTTGGCTTTTGGCCTCATCATTCAACCAAAACTGTTCACTCCAGAGTTAGTAATGATCTCATAATTGCCGAATCTGATGACCTTTACTTAGACCCCATCCTTTTTGACACCTCTGCAAACTTTAACACTGTTGATCATTCTCTTCCCCTTGATATTCTCTTTTTTCTTGATTTTTATGACAATGCTTTCTCCTGGCTGACCTTGTACCTGTCTTGACTGCTCCTACTCTTTTTT